ACACCCAAAAAAAAAAAAACACGTGAGCTGTGATTGGTTGTTACCTGAGGAACTGTGATGTCATTTTCAGTCCACAGCAAGTAGGCAAACGGCCGCCGCTTCGGACGGAGGAACACAACGCAATTTTGCCGGTATCCATCCACCCGTGGTCCGATTCCGCGTATGCTCACCGGGGTCGCGGGCGTCCGTCTTGGGGGAAGGAGGCGGGGCGCTCCCTCAGCTGCTTGCCAGAACAATCGCAGGGCGCACATCCAAAGGGGACCTGCAATTCAAAGAAAATTTTGGACTTTTGACTTCCCCTCCAAACAATGCATAAAAAACAGAATTTTGACGAGAGATGAAAGGCTTAGAAATGGAGATTCCGCTCGAACGGGACCGACGGAGTAAAATCGTTTGTGCTTGTGTTGACGCAGGGCAAATCGCCGACAGACACGCACATCAAACAGGTCTGCATGAGAGTCATGCAGGGTGAGTCGTCATCGCCGTCGGCGTCGTCGCCGTCGCCGCGGTGGTCCTGATGATCGTCTCGGTGCCGCTTCACAGAGCAGCTGGCCCAGCTGGCGGCCAGCCTCAGCAGACCCGAGTCGGGCGTCTCGGGGCTCCCCGGGCCGCCGGGCCCGCCGGGCCCCCCGGGCCCCAGCGGTGAAAACGGCTTCCCGGGTCACACCGGGTCCAGAGGGCTTCCCGGTCTCAAGGGGCCGCCCGGGCCGCTGGGCCGCAAAGGACCCAAAGGTGGGACCGCCCAGCTACGCCTCCCCAATCGCTCGGCGGAAGAGACGCCGGCCGGCCCACACGCGCGACTCAATGTCGGAAAAGTTCGACCTTTACAAGACAACAAAATAATCATACGAACTTTATTTTGTCGCGAGTCGCATCGAAAAATCGATTCGATGAACCAAATGGAACCGTTCTCCATTTAAATGAATCGAGGCCCTTTCTTTTTTCGTCTTTGTTGATTTTCTTTTTCAGGAAGATGAGATTGTACGAAGATGAGGATTTCATTTGCAAATGCCATACAAATTTAAAATTCTTTCTTTGGAACGCAACCTTTTTTTTCAACAAAATTAATTTCTTGCGTAGCTCAACTTCTTTGTTGAACGTCCTGAATATTTGCGCGTGCCCCCCCCCCCCGACCCGTCATTGGAAAACGACCGTTTATCCCGCCCAAGCGTGGAAATATTTTCAATTGAACATGTCATGCAACAACATGATCTGTTTTCGTCCACAGGGGACCAAGGGGAGAGGGGGGCCCGGGGCCCCACCGCCCATGGACCCAAAGGCATTGCGGGCACTCCTGGTTTGCCAGGTAAGCCACAGCTGGGAGCACGGCAAACGCTGGGAAATGAATCCATATTTCGATGTTGGCTTCTTTAGATCATCAAAGAAAAAAAAAAATGACGAATGTGCTAAACGGCGCGGCGTGTGTGCGTGCGGGCGGGCAAGTTCCCGCCTGCGGGCGCCATCGAGTGACGTTGCGCGATTTTGCCGCCGTCCGTGAAGGGGGTTCATGACGTTCACCGACAAAGATCGTCCATTCAAACAGGAGTCATGCTTCGTTGTCAAACCGCGCTGATGTGCTCGCGGAAAATTAGCATCGACGGCCGGGACTGTTATTCTTTCACAAAACCAATATTGACACGCCGGAAGGAACGTATGTACACACGAGGCTCATACAAACCAGGGCCAAAGGCACGTTTTCTCCTCATCCGCGGGGGGAAACGAGTTCGATGAATAACAGTGCACCTCAGTCGCAGCTTTGTTCGCCTCTTCATCTCGTA